TACGGCTGCTCGCTGTAACACGAGTATACACATATGTTTTACTGTAGTCAAGTGGTGTGCTTCACTGTCCGAAGAGTCCTCAGTACCCATGTAGGGCAGAGCCTTGTACACAAGAGAGAGATTGGAAGCTTTGTCACAACTCTGAGTTTCACGTATTACCGTAAAATCCCGCCAGAGCGCACCGTCTTTCCCATCCGCCCCTCCCTGACTTCCTGAGGGATGTGATTAGTGGTAGTAGTAGTAGTAGTATTTATTATTTGACTAGGGGAGTCCCAACAGGCATGGCCTTGTTACAGGGAACCCTAGGTGAATCTTTGTGAGGTGAGCAAAAGTACCAGCAGATTGTGCCTGACGACAGTTTGGAGGAAGAGTGTTCCACCGACCTGCCGCCAGAAAAGAAACTGAGCGCAGTCCATACCCAATATGTACAGTAGGTAATACTAAGGCAGCTGCATCCTGGCCACGAGTACGAACATTTGTGTGCGGGCCAACTGAACGCAGGAGAAACAGTGACTGAGGGAGGGGGCTAGCAATTGATGACAAGCAGCGATAGGCCAAAACGTATAGTTTCAAATTAACTCTTTGCTCAAACGAATACAGATGACACCGTTGTAAAACTAATGCAGTTGGGGTCATTCTATCTAAACCAAATGCCTTCTTCATCGCAATATGGCTGACCGTTACAAGCCTGTTATATAGGGTAGTTTTCAAACAGTGCACATACGCATTACTTGCATATTCTAGAGTAGACTGTATAATTGACAAGAAGAAAGTTCTCCGAGCTGTAGCTGATAAATTGCGACGGCCATGAGCAAAACAGGCTAGTTTAGCGAAGACCACTGAACACACCTTTTCTACTTGTGGGTGGAACGTTAGATGCTCATCGATAAGAATACCGAGGTATTTCACAGTAGAGACAGGGGAAATGACAATACCTTTACAGGTCAGGTACAGGGCTGGGCTCAGTGCAGGCAGGGCAGGACGCCGTATCAACATGAACTGTGTTTTAGTGGGGTTGAGCAGAAGGCCTTTTTCATCAAGGTATTGCTCTAGCAACCGCATACTATCCTGCAAGCGTAGCATAACTGTAGCCACATCAGAGCCGAATACGTAGAACGCAATATCATCAGGGTACAGCTGCACGATACTCTGGTGAAATATATCGGGTACCCGGCGAATGTAGACGCAGAAAAGCAAAGGCCCAAGAACAGACCCCTCTTGTAGAGGGTTTGGTGTCACCCTTCTCACCATTGACAGTAACCTGCTGGCTGCGGTTCGTGAGTCTGAGAACCACTTGAGGACAGTGCCGCCTAAGCCAGTGGTGGCTAGCTCTCCCAGCAGACCTGTGTGCTGCACACGGTCAAACGCCTTGCTCATATTCGCAAAGACTACTCCGCATTGGTCACCGTTGTCAAGTGCTCTGTTCCATCTGTCTAGGCAAAGTGTCAGGGCATCCTCACAGCTATGGTGTGAGCGGTACGCAAATTGTTCAGCTGGTATGGCTGACAGGTCTGGATTCTGGGTGAAATACGAAGTGACTTGCTTGTGGACAACCTTCTCTAGGATCTTGGCAGCGATAGGCAACAGTGAGATTGGCCTGTAGTTGGTGGCTGAGGTCTTATCACCAGATTTGTAAACAGGGCAGACATGGGCATGTTTGTAGGCAGCAGGAAAGATGCCAGAGCGAAGAGACTGGTTGACGATAACAGTTAACGGATACGAGACTGAATCTCTGCAGGATTTCAGGATGCAGGACGGAATATCATCGGAGCCGGTGGCTTTGTTGGATACCAGAGATTCAAGCAACTTGGAGATGGTATCGACGCTGACGGTATCAAACTCCAAAAGAGTAGTACTATTGGGGTCTGCAACGGGTGGGGGCAGCTCGACTGGTCTGGCAGGGTCATGGTGATTGATCGTAAAGTGAGCCTACCCTTAAAACGATAACCCCTATAACGATATTACCCTTATAGTTATAACGATATTTTTCTGCCAAATCAAATCACTCCACTGACTTTTGTATACAACGCCTTACCCTTATAATAATATTGCTATAACGATATTACCCCTACAACGATTATAAAATGGGCTGACCACTCGGCATTTTTCCATTTTATAACAATATCTAGTAGGGAATATGTAGAGGCCCCTATCCAGGTAGGGCAAGCGTCACTTGATAAGTCGCTGGGACATGACGAAATGCAATGGGGGCACCAGTCATGCCTTGTTGTGTACACAATGTGCATAGAACATACATGTACCTTAGTTTTGATGCTATGAAGAGTGTAAAAAATGGACAAAAATCATGCATTATGACGTACATGTATGAAATGAACCAGTACCCTTATAACAACATTACCCTTATAACGATATTTCTTGGTCTGACGCAAATATCGTTATAGGGGTAGGTCGACTGTATCTTCGTATGACTCTGTGGCCCACCCTCTTGACCAGGGATCGCACGGTGTGAGACGTAAGGGCTTGTCGGGAGGGCTGGGGTGAGCTGTAAACATGCAGCAGTCGTTGCGACGTTCAACGTCGAACGGCGCGAGTCACAAGGCACGGTCCGTGACGGGGTGACTTTCGGACCTAATTTCTCGTTTTTCGGGACTTTTTTTCAATTATATTTTCCTTGAAAGAAGCGGAATCAAGTTCACAATACCAGTTTTTCTTGAAGACCAAAAAATTAGCCCTGAAAGTTGTGGCATTCAAATAATAGACCCAGGAAATGATAGAATAGTTCGTCTGTCACGCTCCTCAACTATCCCTAAATTCAATAAGTGACATAAGATCTTATTTAGGAATGGGTTTGCTCCCACACTGGATCTCTATTGCGTAAATACTAATGACATCTTATGTGGCTAAAATTCAACTCAAGTCGTGCTAGCCATTCTGTGAGTTATCGTGGGAAGCGCAGTGTTCGAAATGCGGACAATTTCCAAGTACGAATCGGGAGTACGCAGCGCACGACGCCATCTAGGGTACCCTGTAAGAAGGCCTTAGGCCTGTGGGGATGGCCCTATCAAAAATTTAATAATAATAATATAATCTCCTGTTCACACTCGAATTGCAGCCGTTTTGTGTGCGCTTGCGTCCCCGTCTACGCCCATCTACGGTAAGAAAAGTTTGAATCGATCCAACTCTTCATCTTCCCGTCGCTTCCCGATCTGTACGGTAGTACGGTTGCGTTCCCGTTACTGGTGTTCACTGGACGCCGTCAGACCCTCCCGTCGCTTCCCGTCGATCCTTACGTCGCGTCCCGTCGCGCCCCGTAGTTTTCGCAGGGGGGGCAGGGACTACCTTTTCAAGTGCCGTAAACTATGACTATGATCGTTTGGTCGGACCCAGATCCAGATCCTAATCTCAGATCCGTCGGATCCTTCAGAATCAACCGAACACTTTTTTGCGAACCTTGGCTGTTGCCATGTTGACGAAGTAAAACATGGCGCTGACAGGTCACCCAAAAAAGGCACAAGTCGTACTGATCGCCCGCGTCGTACGAAAAGTCAACAAAAGTCCACTAGACGTACGTACGACAATGAGTATAAAAATGAGTATAAAAATGATTTTTACCCTCCATATACGCACAAAGGTCACATTTGGATCCGATGGATCCAGTCAACCCTGCTCCTGGGGCAGGGTTGCTCGGATCCAAATCCGAAGGATCTGGATCCGGATTCGACCAATGGATCATTGCAGAGCGAGTGGATCCGATGGATCTGGATCTGGATCCGACCAAACGATCACGGCCTAAGTACCGTTGATCCGCCCCCACTCTAATTCCCGCCCCCCCCTCGATTTTCTGTCTCTGAAGCGACTTCAGAATTATACGGTAGAGAAATTATGCGTCTTTCTGTACTCATGTCCATATGCATACAGCCAACCTCGTACTACTTCCTAGTGCGCAAACAAACTTTCGGGTGAGAGTCTGTGTGAATGTGTACGTCGAGTTTGACCTTTCTCACCTGTTTGCGTATGAAAGATACAGCACCGCATTGTCGTACAACGACACTGCACCAAACAGCCTTGATCGTATAAGCCTTTTGCGCGTTGTACAGATCCACGAAACCCCGTAGAATCCCGTAGAACCTAATGGGTGTTGAATGTGCAGGACCCTATTGTGTCTTTTGCTATTTCCACTAAGAAATAGGCCCTGAAGGCATTTCAAAGAAAAACCTTTTCTGACAAAGATATAGCTAGTCATTAGTTCTAACCAAAGTGAAGAAACTGGAATAGGGATTGTTTGCCATTAATTATGAGGTTAAAATTGGTCAAATGCGCATGCATAGCACACAATGAACACCCAATCGGTTCTGTACACACCTACGCCCGAGTATTGAACCTCGTACATCTGTACAATGCGCAAAAGTCTTATTCCCGCCCCCCCCCCCCCCCATGAAAAACAAGCTGGGAAGCGACTTGGCGTGGGGGGCGGATCAACGGTACTTTACGGTAGTACTGAATGTACTCTTGGTCGTATGGATGCTGTCATGCGCCAGTCCTGTTGTTCAGGTAGTCAACGACTGTCAGTTGCGTGACTCAGACTCTTGCAGAGTAGCCGTGTCTAGCATTTATATTCCACACTTTTATTATCCGATGATCTCGTTTTGTATCCTATGATTCCGTGATTTTCTGTTGGTTGCTTTTCTGCTGTGCGAATACCCCCCCCCCCCCGTACCGCTAAAAAAGACTAAACAAGGAAAAAACTGCGACTAGCGTACCGGCAATGCGGACGTACGTACGAAGCTGTAGTTCGAGGAGGGCTCACTTCTCTTTCTTCGGAGAAAAGTCCTTAAAACGAACAATTGTATACGGTGCGGGTAACATTAGGCTTGTACGTTTTTGATATCAGCCCATAACCAGGGAGTCGTACAATCATTTGTAATGTACAACTCCCTGATTATATTGAGCCAAGAATACTGTTTCCAAATCGTATAGAGGTTATATTCTTCTATATAAGGGATTTCTGTTCCCGCTTTGGGCATTTGCCACCCCAACTGGCTCCTATATATGGTGGATTTGACGTTATCGCATAACCTCTATACCGCTATATAACTAGGTCGCGAGGCAAGTCACACAATCAACGGTTGGACGACTGAAGCAAAACAGGTTGCTTTGTCCTTGTTATCGCTTCGACAGTTTGCTCCCCTTGCCCCACCTCGCAGCGAATTTTCCTGAGAAGAAGATCGAAATCACGGCCGTCACGTCATGGCTTCCAATGGAATGGTAGGTTCCTGCATACTTCATAAGATTAAACGTGTATTGATTTGGGGGTGTCTTAGGTTCGTACTTTATAAGATTAAACGTGAATTGCTTTGGAGGTGTCTTAGGTTCGTCCTCCGGTTTGTCCATATTATCACTTTCCTCGGATAGTTTATTCACCAATCGCATTCCTAATTTCAGTCAATCAAGAGACTACTGAGTCGACATTACCAACGCTTCTTGCAAACAAGCGCACTAGTGTAAAAATAGCGTGCCTTCACATTGGCCGCTGGTTCCACTTCTCTGTGAGGGTGCAATAAATATACCGGTATAAAGTTAATCTCCGTGGTGAAAAATGTACAGCTTTCCAGCAACCTTTATATCATAGGCAGGTCTCGTACATTTATCTCCGTAATGCTGTTTGAGAACTCTAGGGGAGAGCTCTTTATGCTCATCGAAGAAGTTTTGCTGTTGTTAACATTGTTTCACTGCATGAAACCGCTCTGATTCCGGCGCGTCCAGGAAGAATATTTGTTGAATGGAAAACGAGGAGAATCATGTAGATCGATGTTGTTCTTTTTTTTAACTAGATCCGACAATGGTTTGCACTTGGAGTGCTGTTTGTGACGATATCAAAGGTCCATGGCACACCCGGTAAGTAACTATTTGCTGTGAGTATTGGCCAAATTTTTGACGGCCACGTTCATTTTTTTTTTGCAATTTTATAGGGTAAAGTGATGAGTGGATTGGCCAAACTACCTGTTAACCTAATATTGTCCAGCCGATGAAGACTTGAGAGAGGGAAAGGGAATTTATTTTATACAATGAATGCGATTTAGTCCTCAAGTAACGTGTCTGCTAATCTGATGTACAGACTCGGGAGTGAAGAGGCAACTGCCATGTAATGCAGGTGTCGACTTTCTAACGGCGGGGGAAAAGTAGACCGACACAGAAGGAACTAAAACAATGAAAATATAATATGAAGAACCATGTTACGAACCTTCCTTTGTTTGAGGGACAGGTGCAATAGGAACGATGACAAGTTTGGCTAGTACTGTCTATTGCACAACGGTAAACACAGACCATCTATGTACTGAATAAAGAAGTTCAATACAGGGTCCATTATGATTAAGAATCAATAGGACTAACTTTACCATCAATATCCTGTGTTGCTGAAGTCCTAGGTTTTCCAAAATCCACTTGCAAGTCACTTCTTTCATTAAAACTATGTGACTGAAGCCAAGAAAACAAATTATTGATACAAAACACCAATGATTAATTTAGTATTCAACACGTATTGCGAATTACGAGCAAGCAAGAAAATGATAGGTAGATAGCACAAAGGGCGAGAAAACCACAATGTGAGAACTGTGAAATGATAAAGAAAATCAAAACCAACAAGACCGCCTACTATAATTTGTGCAGGTGACAGTCAATTATTTCTTCAGACTTTCACCTTTTCCATTCTCTTGATCTATGATTACTAGTATTTGATTCCGCGTATTAGGTTGTGGGTGAAGTGTGTGGGTACAGGAGGGTTGGGACCCATTCGCCTCTGTAGTGTAACATGAAGTGTGCGTTTCGAAGTCTAAAGAATAATTATGTTGAATCATCTCTGCTGGGATGACAGCTACGCCATAGTTAAGTAGTTAGAGCATCGCAATCCTCAAGCGAACATCCATTGTTCGAGTTCTGGATTGGACAGTCAATATTCTCTTCAAACTTTCCCCTTTCCATTCCCTCAACGTATGACCGTTTACCGTAGGTCATGCCGAAATACTGTTTGCGAGAATTAGCTACTTTGTCACCTTTATTTGCAATGCTACGGGTGTCCAGAGTGAGAAAATCAATGTATCAGAGTTCGTATTTGGACACTTAATTGAGCATACATGAATGTGTTGAAAATAACACAGTAAAATATGTTATATTGGGAAGAGTCGAATTGCTTTAGGGTGCTTGTTCGCAGCTTCACCTGCCCGCTCTTTCCGACCGGCAAAGCTTGACAATTTTATTTTTGAAACTCGGATGTTTAGCCATAAATAAATGTAGAAAGGAAAACGACATATGGATACGAGTTACTCTAAACTCGTATCCACATGTCCTTTTCCTTTCTACATAAATTTTATTTTTAACTGATATATTTTTACTATGTTCACATAACCAGCTAGAAAAGAATAAGGAAAGACAATGGTAGAGAGACTAGGACAAACGTGACAACGAATGAAAGCATGTTCCCCCTCCAGCCCCCCGCCCCTTCCTGCAAGTATAATCATTATGTTCATGTTCAAATTCGACACAGGAAAACATATGGTCCGACATACTATCATGATGAACAAATGAAAACGTGATGCAAAGAATAATAATAATAATAATAATAATAATAATAATAATAATCTTCACTAGTCTGAGGGAAAGAGACAAACGGGAAAAGTCTGAAGAAAAAATTGACTGTCACCACCAAGACTCGAACCAGGGACCCTCGCTTGTAGCTAGCGATGCTCTAACCACTGAGCTATGGTGTAGTCGTCATCCCAGCATAGACTGTTCAACATTTTCTTCAGACTTCGTAACTCACACTTCCTGTGAATCCACACAGGCGGGTGGGACGCAGCCCTCACTGTACCCACACACTTCATGTACACTCTAGCACGCGGGGAGCCCCAAGTCATAAACTCTTCACTAGTCTGAGGGAAAGAGACAAACGGGAAAAGTCTGAAGAAAAAATTGACTGTCACCACCAGGACTCGAACCAGGGACCCTCGCTTGTAGCTAGCGATGCTCTAACCACTGAGCTATGGTGTAGTCGTCATCCCAGCATAGACTGTTCAACATTTTCTTCAGACTTCGTAACTCACACTTCCTGTGAATCCACACAGGCGGGTTGAACGCAGCCCTCACTGTACCCACACACTTCACGTACACTCTAGCACCCGGGGAGCCCCAAGTCATAAAATCTTCACTAGTCTGAGCAAGAGTACATAACCCCCCAGAGTGTGCAACTCCACTATGGGTGCTGTCCCGACAGAATTTCAAGTTGACGTCATTTTGATGATGCAATGCGCACTGTACACGGATTATCAGACGAATCCGGAACCTGTGGTTGACCGAAGCCGATCGGTCCTGTACAAATTATTGCAAAGAAAAACGTGTGATGCGTTGACACCCGTACACATGTTGTAAATCACTGCTGCAAGGAGCATTGCGTCATAAATAATGACGTCAACTTGAAATTCTGTCGGGACAACAGGGTATGTGGGAGTTGCACACTCTGGGGGGTTATGTACTCTTGGTCTGAGGGAAAGAGACAAACGGGAAAAGTCTGAAGAAAAAATTGACTGTCACCACCAGGACTCGAACCAGGGACCCTCGCTTGTAGCTAGCGATGCTCAAACCACTGAGCTATGGTGTAGTCGTCATCCCAGCATAGACTGTTCAACATTTTCTTCAGACTTCGTAACTCACACTTCCTGTGAATCCACACAGGCGGGTGGGACGCAGCCCTCACTGTTCCCACACACTTCACGTACACTCTAGCACGCGGGGAGCCCCAAGTCATAAAATCTTCACTAGTCTGAGGGAAAGAGACAAACGGGAAAAGTCTGAAGAAAAAATTGGCTGTCACCACCAGGACTCGAACCAGGGACCCTCGCTTGTAGCTAGCGATGCTCTAACCACTGAGCTATGGTGTAGCCGTCATCCCAGCATAGACTGTTCAACATTTTCTTCAGACTTCGTAACTCACACTTCCTGTGAATCCACACAGGCGGGTGGGACGCAGCCCTCACTGTACCCACACACTTCACGTACACTCTAGCACGCGGGGAGCCCCAAGTCATAAACTCTTCACTAGTCTGAGGGAAAGAGACAAACGGGAAAAGTCTGAAGAAAAAATTTGACTGTCACCACCAGGACTCGAACCAGGGACCCTCGCTCGTAGCTAGCAATGCTCTAACCACTGAGCTATGGTGTAGTCGTCATCCCAGCATAGACTGTTCAACATTTTCTTCAGACTTCGTAACTCACACTTCCTGTGAATCCACACAGGCGGGTGGGACGCAGCCCTCACTGTACCCACACACTTCACGTACACTTTAGCTAGCGGGGAGCCCCAAGTCATAAAATCTTCACTAGTCTGAGTGGAAGAGACAAACGGGAAAAGTCTGAAGAAAAAATTGACTGTCACCACCAGGACTCGAACCAGGGACCCTCGCTCGTAGCTAGCAATGCTCTAACCACTGAGCTATGGTGTAGTCGTCATCCCAGCATAGACTGTTCAACATTTTCTTCAGACTTCGTAACTCACACTTCCTGTGAATCCACACAGGCGGGTGGGACGCAGCCCTCACTGTACCCACACACTTCACGTACACTTTAGCTAGCGGGGAGCCCCAAGTCATAAAATCTTCACTAGTCTGAGTGGAAGAGACAAACGGGAAAAGTCTGAAGAAAAAATTGACTGTCACCACCAGGACTCGAACCAGGGACCCCCGCTTGTAGCTAGCGATGCTCTAACCACTGAGCTATGGTGTAGTCGTCATCCCAGCATAGACTGTTCAACATTTTCTTCAGACTTAATAATATTATTATTATTACTTCCCGTTTGTCTCTTTCCCTCAAACTAGTGAATAATATCAATAATAATAATAATAATAAAGTGGTCAGAGCATCGCTGGCTACAAGCGAGGGTCCCTGGTTCGAGTCCTGGTGGTGACAGTCAATTTTTTCTTCAGACTTTTCCCGTTTGTCTCTTTCCCTCATACCAGTTAAAATAATGATAACTTTATTAAAATGACCCAAAGACTAGTCGATTAAGAAAAGGAACACGATAGGGGTTATGAGGTAAGCGTTACCGTCCACCACTGTGGCTCAATGCCAGTATTCATTCGGAAAGTCCTGCAACTACAGTCCATTTCAAAACTATAGACGCGTACCTAGGCAAAAACCGTTATGCCAGCATCTATACCACATAAAATCTGTGATCACTTTGTGCATAATTTTTTCCAAATTGGGCGTCTGTTATCCAATCCTTTAGAAACTATATGAGAATAATTGTGGAGCGATCCTGAGCAATATTCCGAGAACTATTCTCAAAAAGTTCCAGCCAAATTTGAAATATTTCAAACACCCTACGCGTCTATAGTTTTGAAATGCACTGTAGGCACAAAACTGGTCGAGTGCTGAGACGCTCGATGATCTCACCCCTAGCTTGAACATTTTTCCAAAGGCACGAACCAACAGGCTCACAACTCGGACGATTCTAGCGTTGGACCAGAGAGGGGAAGATGAGCGCAGCGACAATGACTACAAACTAAAATTTAATGTCCACAGGAACAAGGAATGTCGTTTGTTGCTTTGACATTTGGCTCCTGTGGGACTTTTGGGGGTACTCATTTTCAACTATGATCAAATCAAATAACAATCGAACACACAAGGGGACGAAATTCAAGTACGAAGCTGCATTAGTGACAGAACTCTGGCCCACCAAGGTTACTTTATCTATATTTCGTTCTTCACATCTCAATAAAGAAATGACGCATCAGATTCTGCTTTTTGGGATCCTTAAACTGTTGTTACCTAGCCACACTTTCAAATGTATGTTCTTGAATATTGTTATTTCAATTGTCCATCGTGGTCTTGTGATCGGGATCACTTGTTTTATTCGTTTCTCCGAAAAGGCTAATTCCCCTGCTTTTCCTCTGTGTGTGTGTGTGTGTGCGTGCGTGTGTGTGTGCGTGTGTGGGTATGCGCGTGTGTGTGTGTATGTGTGTGCGTGTGTGTGTGCGTGTGTGTGCGTGTACGCGTGCGTGTGCAGTGACAAAGTTCTGCCCGGCTACGGAAACTTTGCTCACGTACGAGGTGCACGAGCCAATGCCTTATAACGACGCAGTAACAGCGTGTGCCAAACGTAATGGGTCTATTCTGGCAAGTGAATTAGCTTGGAGACACCAATGCCTTGGCACAATGATTTCCAACATTGAGAAAGAATACGAACAAAGTGGGGTCACCGTTTGGCTCAACTGCAAGACAGATACCATAACATATACGAATTGCGAAGCACCAATGGCTTCTGATGGACAACGCTACAGCAGGGATTCCAACCATAGCTTTATATGCGCACGCACTGGTAAAGATATTTTCATTGTCAACATTCATGTACAACCCAGTCGAAAGGCTGTGTAGCTGTAACTCAAAGTTTCACGCATTTCAAGGATCATCATAAAGCAGCATTTGGCATAATTACACTCTCTGTGTCACTGTTACTCTTTGCATGCCAAATGCCGATGTCCGATGATCGATGGATTGCATTAGGCCTCGACCAAATATGCTAGAAAAAGAGCATAATATGCTCGTCGCATATCAGGGAAAACGTCCATAATATGCCAAAGGCTTAGCAAGATATGCAAAAAGATATGCCAGAATATGCTCGACATATGCAGAAAGTGTAGACCATTTCAGTTAAATTACAACCTTGGAATATTCATTGGCTTCACGGCTATCATGCTAGCATATGTTGCAAATCAAAACATATTCGGAATAGTATGGTTGGAGTGTGTCCCCAGCAACCGTAGCGATAGTGTTCATCCATGGGGAAATGTACCAAACGCCTCAACCATTCCAACTTCATCCAAAACAGGCATTTCTGAGCGCATTTTGTCCATAATAATTATAAATATTTTGTCCTTATTTTCTTCAGAATACTTGAATTATGTGCTAACTTCATTCCAATATTCCCTTTGTCGCTCATTATGCCATATATGAACTGTCTCACAAAATATGCGGAAATATGCGCAAGCATATTTGGTCGAGGAGTATATTGCATAACCTTAAAATTACAAGTACACCGCCCTTTTGCCTCCTTGGCATACGTACATGTATACTGCTCTGGATATTTGTGCATCAAGTACTCTGCTTAAGAGCTGCCTCGATCCGGCTCTATTTTCACGACAGCCCATGGCTTATATCGCATAGAAGATAATTTAGATAATCATTCTACGACCATCCAATGTCAATCTTGCAAATTCGGAATAATTATCCGTATTTACTAGAGTATCGTATGGATGATTGATTAACACCAGTTATTTAAGGCATGCTTGCTACTGTACTTGTTACACTCCTGAAAAGGGGGTATTGATTGGTTATTTTAGATAAAGATATTTTCGTTTGGAATTAACTCTCGCTATATTCGTTAGGCCGCACGAAATAACTAAAGTCTGTAGCAAACTAATGTTTTTGTTTCTGAACGTTCGCGGTGACAGACCTCGACGAAAAGCGAATTTTAGTACGTAAGAAGCCTGCTAATAGAGTGATCTAACGATAGATTTCGAGACAAAAATGTTACAGTATCTCCATTTTGAAATACGTTTGAATGATCCCCGCAGGGGAAATAGTGCTACTGAAGTGTACATAATTTAAAATGATGATGTCATTGCAAGACATTTATATATATTAATACCCTGGATTTCACAACGCCCCTAAATTGTCTCTGGGCTAGACAAATCAGTGAATTGGACAAAAATTGTCCGAATTTTCTACCAATTGATAAGTTAGTGATCAGGTTTTATTTGCTATGCGAAAGAAGACAACGCAAACGCCCCGTAGAGTATATTGCAAGGTTGGCGAAACTTGAGTTGATTACAGAAAGGTGTGGCATTGACTTGAGAATGTTATCTAAATCGAATACTGTGGGTGATCACAGGAGCAGCATCCACGCCTGCCCACACGGTCAGTACTTCGGCATAAAAGCATCTCGTTCACCCCTTTGGTAATTTGTAATTTATTACCATAATATGGTAGTATGTAGTGCTAGTCATATCCTTAGGCTGTGTATAGTGGACAGCCAGTATTACAATTACCGAAAGGCAACAGTGCAACCGATTTCGTCCTGGGCGTTGGTTGCCTGAAAAAGGAACATTCACCAGAGGGCTGTTTGAGCGTCTAATTAAATGTATAAATTAGTAGGGATGACGCGCACAAATCCTCTTATCCTAATCTATTGTTTGTTTTCCTCTTCTGTTCCTGTTACAGCGGGTGTCTTCTGCCAAGAAACTAAATCTTTCATCTTCTTTCATGACAATAGATTGGGTGTATATTTCCGTGGAGTAGCAGTTTGCAAAAAAAAAGTTGGCTCATCTTTGCCAAGTCCTGCGGCATATAACGCCGGCTGCGTTACAAGGCTTCTTGATACTTTGGGGCAGGATCCACTGTATGCCAACAAACGAGTGTGGTTGGCGACATCTCAAACGGACCTAGACCAGGACTTTGCAAAAACATCCAATGGTCAAAGACTTCCGGTCAACGACGAAATAAATATCGCGTGTGAAACAAAGTGTAAGTTTCTTCACTCTGTTAAAACTAATAATGAATGGCTAGAAAACCGGGTACTTCTGTTCGAAAGAGTAACAAGGAAGATTAAAAGTTGATATGCTTCCTCGAGTTTGTCTCTCCTTTGTGGATCATTGGCCCTCCATTAAGATTAGGCGCCGGCGGATTAGGACGGCAGAAAAATTGGCAGAATTCGGTACTTTTCTTGTAAGTTTCATGCATGTTTGGTATGTGGATAAAGAAATGGCGGAGAATCGAGGAATGGCCCGCCATAAGGTTTGTATGGTTCTGCCAATTTCACTGCTTTTCGAGCAGAATCTGCCACCTTTTCGAGCAGAATCCGTCGGTCCCTAATCCAGATTTAGAGAGAGAAAAAGAAATCAGAATGGAAGATACACAGTGTTCATATCGGAAGGCAAACTATTCAGATTGTTTAAGAGAGCATGTCTGAGAAAACCAGAACATATGTGCAAGTCGATCTCTCAGATTTCGCTCAAATTTTGCAGGTAGGTTTGCTTTGGGGTGTAGATCGACATTCCAAAGCCCGCACAAAATCTTTTGAAGGGAACCATGAAATTGGCATACCCCTCAATATTGGCCCAATATTGGCACGATTTATGGGTCTACAAACGAGCCACGGCACAGCGTACAAGAACAAGCTACGAACAAAACTCCATCAAGCCATCATTACCTCACCTTAGAAGAGTTCTTGGGGCAGCACCACTTAGCCACGCCAGCATCCCAGAAGACGAGGGAAATCATCCCTTGACGCCACAAATGATCGTCTTGAAAATAGCCAAGTTACAAGCGCTGATAAAACAGCGAGCTACGTCCTCAATTAGCAAACACTATACACCGGCAGATAGTAGAACACCTCTTCTAGCACTGAGGACATGTCCCCCATCATCCTTTTGGGGTTTTCTTGAAATAAACAATTTTGAATTTTTCCACTCGACCATTCTGAAATACGTCCAAACTCATACCTGCGCAGGAAGGCTCGCCCCTCCGCGACGTCTAGTCAGCAATTTCTACTCCAACACCACTCCCAACGCTGCAGAACAAAGTGTATTGTTGACTCTGACAAGGAAAAGCAGCGGTGATCACTTGTCACTCCAAACGACAAGCTTCTCCTTGCGCCACCAACATTTTTCGTTGCAACAGTTGATGCAAAAGTGACTGAATTTTTGCGTGTAGTTTTTGGATTTTACTGCAAGAGGAATGAAGAAATCACGTGGATCGTGACGTAGAATAATGCTTTCTGGTACACGACACAATGCACACGATCGATCACGATCGTTTCTGAGGCGCTATTCGAAACGGACCATGGCATGAGGGAAGAGGTAAGATGCATTATATTTCTTGCATGCTCTGCTCAGAACATGCAGAAACTATCGATAACGCTAGCAGTATTGCATTGGCAAGAATTCTTGGAGATATTTCGTCTTGCAGTAAGAACAGGGATGCATTTTTTCACACTAACCTCGCTCATCCCGAACATGGTTCAGCAAGAACTACGGCTGGTTTACATGCTGATGATCCACGTAGATCTGCAACACTGCCAACAGCAAGGAATGAGCGTGGTCCATGCCATCAAGGTCGTTTGGAGTTGACCAGCGCGCGGCCAACACTGGTTGCATGAAGTATGTGGCGCGGCCACATGCCAGATTTCTTACGTCATGAACAACGTGATTTGACCCTACTCGCCGCCCGTCTCTGTGCTGCATGTAGAGGGAAAGTCCCAGCTGGAAGGCCTACAACACGACATGCGTGCTCTTGAGCTGGACATCAAGATGCACTTGATCCGATCTAGATCAACGGGTGATCCATGTAAGTGCAGGAGCGCTTGGAACAACTGCTGAACCGTGATCTACGAGACCTGGCATTCTTGTGTCACGAGGCACGTGATTTCATCATTCCTCTTGCAGTAAAATCCAAAAACTACACGCAAAAATTCAGTCACTTTTGCATCAACTGTTGCAACGAAAAATGTTGGTGGCGCAAGGAGAAGCTTGTCGTTTGGAGTGACAAGTGATCACCGCTGCTTTTCCTTGTCAGAGTCAACAATACACTTTGTTCTGCAGCGTTGGGAGTGGTGTTGGAGTAGAAATTGCTGACTAGACGTCGCGGAGGGGCGAGCTTTCCTGCGCAGGTATGAGTTTGGACGTATTTCAGAATGGTCGAGTGGAAAAATTCAAAATTGTTTATTTCAAGAAAACCCCAAAAGGATGATGGGGGACATGTCCTCAGTGCTAGAAGAGGTGTTCTACTATCTGCCGGTGTATAGTGTTTGGTAATTGAGGACGTAGCTCGCTGTTTTATCAGCGCTTGTAATTTGGCTATTTTCAAGACGATCATTTGTGGCGTCAAGGGATGATTTCCCTCGTCTTCTGGGATGCTGGCGTGGCTAAGTGGTGCTGCCCCAAGAACTCTTCTAAGGTGAGGTAATGATGGCTTGATGGAGTTTTGTTCGTAGCTTGTTCTTGTACGCTGTGCCGTGGCTCGTTTGTAGACCCATAAATCGTGCCAATATTGGGCCAATATTGAGGGGTATGCCAATTTCATGGTTCCCTTCAAAAGATTTTGTGCGGGCTTTGGAATGTCGATCTACACCCCAAAGCAAACCTACCTGCAAAATTTGAGCGAAATCTGAGAGATCGACTTGCACATATGTTCTGGTTTTCTCAGACATGCTCTCTTAAGGTTCCCATTAGTTCCATATTGTTACGGATGGTTTACAATAATGAATTGATCAAAATGTGCAAATTGTTTACACTATAAACATCCAACGATGTTTCAGATTTTGCTGCTGAGCTTTCTACTAAACGAATCCAACAAATTGTCTGGTTTCTCGCCGCTTCTATCTTAATGTTTGAGTTTTCGGATTACTCAGGGTAACTGGTGCATTCGTTCATGCTTTGCCCAATAGCTGTATTGCACGGCTAAGCCACGTTTCATGCAGCAAGTGGGCTTTGACGAAATGCCATACCATTTTTCTCTCCTAATCCCTGCCCGTTGACCTTCAAATATGTTGTGTCCTGTTCGAACCGTGCTGAAGTTGTACATTGGGCAACGCACACCATAAGCTGCCTTCGCAACGCCGACATGCTTTTCTGGAGCACCTGGATAAGGGTTTCACTGTCACGGCGGATGCCCCTTATTTGTACTGTTGAGTCAACGAACTAGTAATAAATCCCAATCAAACCAACGAAATCAAACAAAAGTTAAGCAACAGCACGATAATGACGGATGTTTTAATGACATTCCAAAAACCTGATTATTGCCAGTCATACCTGATTTTTTCCAGTTAAACATGGTTTGCGATACATTTGACCCTTTATACATGGGTGGTTGTCGTTTCGCATTCTCGAAGAGAGCCATGGGTTCCTATGCCGTGATTCACCGTCTTTCGTCACCATCAAAGCTCACATTCTAAGGGCGCTGTAAAGTTTAGGTTGTTTTTGCCTCGAGTGTGGTCACCTTTCTCTCCTCTTGTTATTATAAATCTTAAACCTTCAAAATTGGACGACTACTAGTTCGGGCCTTCGAGATGTGAAAGAGCTTAATTCAGCAGGTCGCTGAATTTCAATGACACATCAGTCAGTGTTAGGGAGGTTTAATTGGAGGAAACACACAAAGTTAATACAATGGATCCACTTGCGCCCGGATTCAAAACTTGCCAAAGCCAGGAAAGTAAACTCGCTGTTTCGGGACGCAAACACCTTGAATTAGTGTTAGGCAAGAACGGAAACACATCTGAGTGAGCTTGGCTTGTTTTTGTGACGATTATGGCTCGGCATGCAACTCGGCCAGCTCTGAACATGTTGTGCCTCGGAGGGTTCAAAGACGAACCATCAATAGTCATCATGACGTCTTTGATTTTCAGCACGTGTTTCGCATCTGAACACAACTGGCCACACCACATCTCGCTTCTCCTGGGACCCCTCACAAGGAATCAAGAATGACTAGAAAATGTTTGAAAAATCAAAGTTTTGAAGCCAAAAAAACAAACAAGAATTAATTTGAAAGATTGATGACGCGTCTAAGGGAAGAGAGTATTAATTTCTAGTTGAATATATCGATTTCGTGCGTTGGAGAATTCTTGAGCTGAGTACACTCCCAGCTTGCACACTGTGCCTCGTTCTGATTTTCATTCACATTCTGGCGGAATTTGTGTGAGCCTCCATATACCGCATGTCGTGAATCAGGAACCGAATATTCGTGGTTCATTGAATATCACGTGGTACAACACACGTAAAGTACACACCAATTGCAGGGAGACTAAACCTCCCTATTGCGCTAAGTGCTGCACCTTCCGAAACACACGATAATTATCTTGTTGATGGCGTTCAAAAACCACGGGTAACATCGTGGGTTTAATCACTTGAATGCATTCTCACCCTTGTCTCTTAAACTCTTTTTGTCCGCAGTTCGACTGTTCTGTGAAACGTCCAAAACCGGCATTTCGATTTCCGGTACGGCCTACCAGGGAACAGATGATCAGAACATACAAAGGCGGAGATCTATGTGTCCAAACAATGAAGTGTTGACATCGGACTCTGTACTTCAATTCGGATCATGTCTGGATGCTTTATTCGCACGGTCCACACATTGGATGAATGGGCTTGCCAATCCTGTATTTTGTACAACGAAAGGTAAGTCCCCGTGTCAAGTTAAAAGAGAGCATGTCTTAGAAAACAACACAATGTGTGCAAGTCGATCCTTCCGATTTCGATTAAAAAATTTCAGGCAGGTTTCGTTAGTGGTATAGATCGACTGTGCTAAGCCCTGGAAAGAGTCTTTGAATGGAACCTTTAAATTGGCGCACCTCTCACAATGGTCGAAACACTCTTGTAGGTCTAAAAACGAGCCACGACACAGTGTAACCGAAAAAGATGCGTCCCTGGGGCAGCACCGCTTAGTAATGCCAGCATCCCAGGAGCCGAAAGTCACCACTCCATTACACCTCAAATGATGGTCTTGAAATTAGCCAAATTGCAAGCGCTATCGAACCAGTGAGCTACGTCCTTAATCATCCGGAACTATACTCCGGAAGATCGTAGAACACCTCTTACAGCACTGAGAACATGCCCCCCCCATCTTCCTGTCAGTTTCTTTTTGAAATAAACAATAATTCCACTCCACCGTGCTTAAATACGTCCAAACTCTTACCTGCGCAGGAAAGATTGCCACTCCGCGTCGTCTAGTCAGCAATGTCTAAAGGTCGATTCATACTTCATGTCGCGTACGGGAAAGTCATCGCGCGACCGTCGCGTGAGCTTTCCCGTAAGCGAAATATTTGAGTCTAGATCAACTTTTCGCGACGCTACGCGTTTCTCGTACGCGAAATGAAGTATGAATCAGGCTTAAAGGCCGATTCACAATACATCTTTCTGCGACGCGACATGCGATTTGCGACACAAGCGACGAGCTGCGACAGCGACACACGGTTCACAATATACTTCATGTTTTCGACATCATCATGCACAAGTAGTACTATGCACGTGCACTGCACGTGCACCCAGGGTCGAAATTGTACTCCATTTGTGTATGTCGCGTGTCGCATGTCGCAAAAGTTGAACTTGCGACAGCTCGCGACAGGCAGTTTCTTGTCGCAACTGTCGCAAATCGTGTGCCGCGTCGCAGAAAGTTGTATTGTGAATCGGGCTTAAACCGGGATTCACAGAAGCTTTTTTTGCGATGCGACACGCGATGCGACACGCGATGCAACATGATCTGCGAAGGACGTGTGCAATGTGAACTCGCGAATTATCATTTACAGAAGAAGTCAGTGATGTGACAACGCCTTGCTGATTTGGCGCGACTTCGGTTTGGTACAACTTGGAAAAATTTAAAGGCAACTCTTGAACCTTTGTACAACTTTACTGTAAAAAGGTCAAAGTCGTACGCCAAATCGCTTGTCGCATCGCAAAAGTTCAGCCAAGCTCAACTTCTGCGATGGCCAGCAGCACTGAGTTGCGTGGGGTGTGAGATGGCTGCGATTTGGGGATTCCCCGGTTTCGCTACAGTCATCAGCACACTGTTCCTATTTTCCTTGAGGCATCCACTGCACTGCCCGCCCGCGGCACGAGGTTCTTCCCGTGCCACTTCTGCCGTTGACGACGATTATAGTTGTTGCACGCGCACACATAATTCTAGCCTTCAGTTTGCCTTCTTCATGCAAAATCATGTCTTGGAAAGACGACATTTGACCCCCATTGCAATGTTATAATTATACCGTGTAGGCGCGAATAGAAGCCCTGGGGCTCTATTTTTCCAGAAGACAAATTGAGAAGGGGGGGGGGGGCTATATTTGAGAGAAGTTTTTATTCTAGAGGTGGCTTTTTGTATCCGTGTTGTCCAACACTAACGATTAAAAACAGGATAAGGCAAATGTACAACAATTAGCACAAACCTGGCTGATGTGGATGTTGAATGTTAGTATCACATCGGTCAGTTTTGTGCTAATTGTTGTACATTTTGACTCTACAGTATTCTGTTTATAATCGTTACTGTTGGACAAAACGGACGCCTTGTAAACTTATGGTCCTTTTTTTCCTTTAATCTTTGGCTCTCCCTCCGAGTTGAGTAAAATTGTGTTAACAAAATTGTGTTACTACAGACACCTTTGATTGTGATCCGGTCAACAAGCTTTATTCCATAAGGACCACTGGACAGAACTTCGAACAGGCACAGCAAACCTGTAGGGAGCAGAAGATGATTTTGCCGCGCCCACACCTGTGGAAATGCTACCGAGAGTATGTCAGAGATGCGTTTTCCCCACGCAGGGACAATGTCGCTTGGGTGAATGTAATTACAGGTGTTAAGGCACTTTCCACCAATGGGCAGCAATATGATCGACGTTATGAGAAACTTACGATCACGTTCTGTACCACAGGTGAGTGCTCGCTTGTCTGAATCTCCCTGCCCCTTTACTTAGGGTGGCTATTACCCAAATCCGAAATTAAAAATGTCAGAATTCACAGCTCTTGAATACTACCAGAACATTGTTAGTCCCGAAAAAGTGGAAGGATCGAAACACCTCTTTGTAGTTAATTAAAACCCGATTTATAATTTCTGGTATTTGAGAGCATTTTTGTACAAAAACAGCTTTTTGCCTTTACGGATGTATTTTTCAGACTCGTCAGACTTTCCGTTTTAACAGTAGGGTGGCTATGCAATCTAGACCGTGCTTTTTATAGGAAACAGAAAGTAAAAGTGAACTACAAGTTACTGTACAACGTCAGTACCGTCGGTCAGTGTCGTGCAATGCTTTTGCATGGGCTTATTGTTTGGTGACTGGTCGTGTTTCAGTGTACACTATGACGGAACTTGTAGTTTCTTAGTTCTTTTTATTTCCTATACACGTATCCTTGGCTCTCCTTCTCACACTTTTTTTGCAATGATCACAGCTCACAGCAAGAGTACATAGGCCCCAGAGTGTGCAACGCCGATCCAGCTCTGCATAGGGTCTTGGTCAAGCGGAATCGGATCTTCTTATGTCATGCGTACACTGCACACCAGCGCAAGGCGGTCTCGAGGCAGGGCACCGTTGTTTTTGATCCGAGAGTACCCGCAACTCCCCGGGTTCCCCTCAGATGTGTACAGTATTCTGACACAAAGATCCGATTAAGCTCGACCAAGAGCCTACGCAGAGCTGGATCAGGCGTTGCAAACTCTGGGGGGGTTATGTACTCTTGCTCACAGGCAACGATAACACAATGATGGCGAGGTTTTGCCCTCAACCAACCTGAGGCCTTGGCGTCATGGGGACATAGAACGCACCCCTAAAACACCTAAGTAACCGAAGCCTGTAATGAGCATATGAAACACTGCCTTCTCTTTCTTTATGTTCAGGTTATCATGTCTGCTCCGGTGGGTATATCCATTATATACCAAAAGAAATTAATGAGGCGACCGACTTGGCTTCCGCTTCCATGAAATGCACCAAGTTTGGAATGCACTTGCCGCCCCACAGACAAAACTGCGATCTGGGTTGTCTCTTACCACTGCAGTTCCGACTTCATCTCGGCTACCAATCCCAACAGGACTCCTTTTTTGGGATGTGGCTGAACGAGGTGAAATCGTGTGCTTATAATGCACAAGGGCAGTCAGTGAGTGACTTGTGTGCTGACCGGCTACAGCCCCATGCCTTTAACGAAACGAACTCAGCGAGTTTAATATCAACGGACAGACAAAATGCTGTTGGAAATGTGTTTGTTTGTTTCACTGGTAAGTGGCTGATGCGTACGTCTATCTATCTACTCAATCAATCTATCTATCTATATATCTACTCAATCTGCAGACAGAACTGTTTAGTCCTTTGTGGACTCGTCAGCGCAGCACAGAGGAAATGAGGCTGAACCTGGTAGCAATGAAAAATACATTTTCCAAAGCCAAAGATTTAAACCAGGCCCGAACGTACCTTGCCAGAGTGCTCAAACTGACAAGTCAGGGAGCTCTGCATAACGCAAACAGCAAAGGCACTACCCCACGCAAGAGTGCTCAACTGCTACAAGAGGAGGTGCGAAATCTATTTATCTATCTATCTATCAATCTTGCAACAGTTGCTGTCCACATACTTGGGTATTATGCTCCCTGTGGTCAGCAATGTCGTTAGGTTGAGCACTCTTACCTTAGTGCGAACCCTTGCCGCTCGCCTTGTGCAACGCTCACTGCTCTTTGAGCATTTCGAGCACTCTTGGCGGGGTTTGCAGCTCTTTATAAAAATGCTTTGCTTCACGGAAACGAATTTCATTGCGAAGAGCTGCGCTTCGGTCCTCTGAGCTATGCTGATGCGCTCTAACAGAGCGAAACAGTTGCTGTCCACAGACTAGAGCAGCTATCTATCAATCAATCTATCTATCTATCTATCTTTCTAGCTATGTACCGGTATACTCTATCTGCGGACAGCATGCTGTTTCGTTCTTTGTGAACACATTAGCGCAGCACAGAGGAAATGAGGCCGAACCTGATAGCAATGAAAATAAAAATATCCAATCAGGCCCGAACGGACCTTGCCAGAGTGCTCAAACTGACAAGTCAGTGAGCTCTGCGTAATGCAAACAGCAAAGACACCACCCCACATTAGGGACCGGCGGATTCTGCTCGAAAAGCAGAAAACTTGCCAGAACCATACAAACCTTATGGCAGACATTTCCTCGAATTCTGCTCCATTTCTTTATCCACATACCAAACATGCATGAAACTTACCAGAAAATGTATCGAATTCTGCCAATTTTTATGCCGGCAGAATCCGCTGGACCCTTCCCCACATGAGAGTGCTCAACTACTACAAGAGCAGGAGCGAAAATACTCAATCTGCGGACAGCATGCTGTTTCGTTCTTTGTGAACTCATCAGCGCAGCACAGAGGAAATTAGGCCGAACCTGATAGCAAAGAAAATAAAAATTTCCAGTCTGGCCCGAACGTACCTTGCCAGAGTGCTCAAGGTGACACCGGTATATCTATCTATCTATCTATCCATCCATCCATCCAGGGGCTGAATGGTACACTTATGTAGCGCTAAAAGGTTTAAGAAATAACGTTAGGAATGAACAACAATACAACATCACCATTGCAATTTTGATACTTGGAAAAAAAATACACTGTCACCTCCGATGCTGTAGTCCGACGCTCGGTGCAGAATTTTGTTTTATTTTATTTTTTTTACTATTATTCACAAACCCAACTCGTAAAATAAATAATTATGTGGACAAAAACAAACAGCTACTGATGTTTGCCGCTCTACAGTTCTTTTACGTTAAACAATGCTGGAAGTTACCCGTCAGCGCCATTACAAAGCATGGCATCACTTGAGCAACGACAAAAGAAATTATGATTTTATGTCGTCCTAGAGTTACACATGCAATAAATTATAACGAATGAAATCGATGAGTCCACCGATTTTATCTTTGTTAACGGAGTTCTGCCAGCTTTGGGCAGAATTTGACGCTTCGCAGAAAAGGGTGCGATTTTAGATTGTACCGTACAACTTCAAATCAGGCTTCATCTTGGCTACCAACCTGCAAGAAAAGCAACGTGTTGACATGACAACGTTTTGGCCAAGCCACGCCGTGATTCTATGAATTTGGAAAATTTTGGGATCAAATGCAACAATCTCTCCTCCTCTTCTCCTCCAGTCGTCTGTGACTTCTATTTCCATCCTTTTCCAAGACTCACTGGTGATATTGAATGTTTGCCAAGTAGAACAAATCCAGTGGTGTCTGGGTTTTTGGTTGTTGCAATGAACAGTTCTTTCGAGGGTGGAGCAGAAAAAAATTACCAGTTCTTTGGTTTGTCGCGCTGCAAACTACTTTTGAAGTAGACATTTGTGTTGTTGGGTCACCGGTACTCACCGTTCGGGGAATCCTTTGAATACATTCTGCCGGAATGAATTGTGCTATGTGTGTGGGTTTATATCTGTGTGCATCCATGTGAGCGGTTGTGTTTGTCTGTGCGTGCGTGTGTGTGTGTGAATGTATGTGTATGTGCGTGTGTACATGTACATGTGTCGGTGCGTATGATCTTGGTGTGTATTTTTCTTTTTCCTGCATTCGTCGACCTGATCATCACTTCCAGAACATGAATAATGAATGGTATGACAGTCGGCACTGAAGGAGTGGAACAATATACGCCTGGCCTAAAAATCGACTGCGGAACGTTTTCAGAAATATAGAGGCCAGAAACGCTCCCTGATCGTAATCGTGTTCTATTTGGCCTGGCTTAATTAAGTTTATTAAAGATACGTTACCCCATAGGATTGACAGATGTCTTACTGTCGTTTAGGAGCTCTTTGATTGAGGCATTGCGGCTTTATCCATCGAGTTCATTACCATCTTCACTCCTATTCTCTTGGGCGTTCTGTGTTTGTAGTTATTTAATGAAATAATGGTGGGCCCTAAAGGGTTAATATAATTATACATTTAATCGTACTTTGAAGCAGGATTAACTTTCAAACGATTATTCGCTAAAACTGAACAGTGTTGGATTGGCTTTTCCTCAAGTTTAACCCGAAAAAGCAATGTTTGTATATAATTATTATACAGCACATTTTTTCTGCTGTTTTCTTTGTTATTTCAGAAAGTTGTGGACATCACGCAACTGCATTGTAAATAAAAGGGGGTTGTCAACAGACAACCGCTCTATTTAGCTGCTATTCACTCTTTAGATGAAAATTCTTGTATTGAAAAGTTTCTTTGTTATGTTACTATAACATGAACTCAGATTCGTAGGGCAAAGTCTGAAAATGTTCGATTTCAGCGGGAGATAGTTTGATTATTGCTCGTTTGTTTATCACAAACCCTATATGACAAGCTTCTTACTGCCAGCCGCGTAGCATTAAAGAGAATATTTTCGTTGGATAGAATGACCCACTCTTCTATACAGTCATACTAACTTGTACGCCCTTGAGAAACGCCTCAACTTCAAAACCTATGTATTTGTTTACCGCTGCCTGAATGGACTTGCTAGTCCTCTTCTGCGAGACCGCTTTACCTTGCGCGCCCATGGTGCTCGCACTGCAGCCACCACCCGTGGCCAAGTCTCTGCTGCTCTTGTTCTGCCCCCCGCTAACACCCGATATGGCTTTAGTGCAATTTCTTATTTGGGCGCTGCCAGGTGGAATACACTTCCACCGGCTTGCCGCATGTCTAGTTCACCAGCTGAATTTCGCTCATCCATCAAATTATACCTAGGGTTCCCTGTAAAAAGGAGCTGACGCCTGTTGGGAATTCCCTAGTAAAAGAAGAATAAATAAATAATAATAATCATGTTTTATCAACGATTGATAAAGTTATTGTCTCCTCGTCGCCTAATCATGTTTTACTTCACCAAGTGAGCAGGCATTTCTGCCATTTCGCCATATGTCCGGAGACCTAGTTCCGACATGACAATGGAATCGCGTTTTCCAAATGCACTTCAGTCCAGGTTATTTTATAGAGGGGGGGGGGGGGCTCCAATCCCCTTGGCCAAATGGGAATGAACCCGGTATTGAAATGGCTTGAATCATATCTGAATTTCAACGCTGTCTCAGGTGTGGTGTGGGGATTGCATTTTGCATTTTCTAACACATTTATGGTTAGTATGCTGTTCTGGCTGATACATCGAAGTCTCCACTCCTGGGACCGACCGAAACGCATGACCGTAATTACCTTGATGAACGCTTCTTGCAGGCATACCTTTTTCGATACAAAAGGCTTGTAAAATTCTCCACATAGATTATGACCCGTTGGCTCATGTACACAACAAAGACGTGCCCCTGCGACCTATCCTGTCAATGATAAATGCACCCCAACATGAAATGGCCAAGTGGCTAACCGAATTGCAGCATCTATTGCTACGGCCATTCCTGAACAAATATTCCACCCACACAACAAAGGTACTAGGTTACCTTCAAGGTCGTGGATAATGTAAGGGAATTTGGTCAGCAACAGGCAGGGACCTCTGAGGCTCTCAATCGCTGTTCCTGTGCTCCTTTGATGTCGTCAGCCTAGTTACAAACGTACATCTCCAGGAAACAATAGAAATCTATCATACAGTTCCTATAAAATCTGTCCCTTTGGGAAAACGCGGCCAATAATTCAAAATTCCGCGGAAAATTCCGCGGGGAAAAGGGGGTTTTCTGCGGCACTTTCTGTGTTAAAATCAAAAATCTGCGGCACTTTCTGCAAGTTTTCACCCTGCTTGTAGAGAATATGACAACTAGTTGCATGAAGGAGCACTTTTCACACTATCCTTTGAAGTCACAAACTGACTCCTGCACTCACCCACACTGGCAAGAGCATAATGTGCTCCAACAGATCGCGAAGTAGTTTTTCCGCTGCTTTCTGAGTAGTAATTTTACTAATTTACCCTAAAAAATTCTAATTCCGCGGGCAAAAGTGTAGATTCCGTGATTTCCGCGGATGATAGCAATTTCTGTGAAATTTTCCGCAACCGCGGAATCGCATTTTTCCAAGGGGATAGTAAAAAAATGATGAAATATCAGCCCAGCAAACACCCTAGGATCGTTTTAGAAGTTGCTTTTCAAAGCCACATCAGACGTGCAGTTCAGTCATCATGGCAATATGTACCCACATAGGGACATGGGTTCAACCTTGGGTCCTGTGCTAGCCATTGTCTTCGTGGGATACTTTGAGAACACAATATTTATGATAAAATATTGACTGGTTTGAGGGAAAGAGACAAACGGGAAAAGTCTGAAGAAACAATTGACTGTCACCACCAGGACTCGAACCAGGGACCCTCGCTTGTAGCCAGCGATGCTCTAACCACTGACCTATGGTGTAGTCGTCATCCCAGCAGAGGCCGTTCAACATTTTCTTCAGACTTCGTAACTCACACTTCCTATGAATCCACACAGGCGGGTGGGACGCAGCCCTCACTGTAACCCACACACTTTACGTACAAACTAGCACGCGTCGTGGGGAGCACCAAATCATAAAATATTGACTGGTTTGAGGGAAAGAGACAAACGGGAAAAGTCTGAAGAAACCATTGATTGTCACCACAAGGACTCGAACCAGGGACCCTCGCTTGCAGCCAGCGATGCTCTAACCACTGAGCTATGGTGTAGTCGTCATCCCAGCAGAGGCCGTTCAACATTTTCTTCAGACTTCGTAACTCACACTTTCTATGAATCCACACAGGCGGGTGGGACGCAGCCTTCACTGCAACCCACACACTTCACGTACAAACTAGCACGCGGGGAGCCCCAAGTCATAAAATATTGACTGGTTTTGAGGGAAAGAGACAAACGGGAAAAGTCTGAAGAAACAATTGACTGTCACCACCAGGACTCGAACCAGGGACCCTCGCTTGTAGCCAGCGATGCTCGAACCACTGAGCTATGGTGTAGTCGTCATCCCAGCAGAGGCCGTTCAACATTTTCTTCAGACTTCGTAACTCACACTTCCTATGAATCCGCACAGACGGGTGGGACGCAGCCCTCACTGTAACCAAGAGTACATAACGGTTATGTACTCTTGCTGTAACCCACACACTTCACGTACAAACTAGCACGCGGGGAGCCCCAAGTCATAAAATATTGACTGGTTTGAGGGAAAGAGACAAACGGGAAAGAACAATAAGATTAATTATAGCAATAAAAACTGCTTTATGGCAGTTTTCTAAAAAAAGTTATTGTGTTCTAGTCCATGGACGTGGACCCCGTCTAAAAAGTAAGAAATTAACGAAATGTGATAGCCGAAAATTAAAATTTCACACAAAACCTCACAATAATCACAACACTTGAAATGCTGCTTTCAACACTAAACTTGTACTGCACCAACAATTGGCAACATGCATGTCATGCATGCATAGGAAAGAGGATCACGAGGGGAAAAGGTCTTCTACATGTAGCTTTTCATTCTGTGTGTGATTATTGTGAGGTTTTGTGTGAAATTTTAATTTTCGGCTATCACTTTTCGTTAATTTCTTACTTTTTAGACGGGGTCCACGTCCATGGACTAGAACACAATAACTTTTTTTAGAAAACTGCCATAAAGCAGTTTTTATTGCTATAATTTCTTTTGTTTTTTTCTGTCACCAATCAATGGAATGCCCTACAGTAGAGTCGCGCGCCGAAGAAGTTAGAACGTGGAGCCCAAGAACGTCCAGCTTGAAATTCTAAGAATGTCTCAGCCTAAATCTAAGAACGGCGGTGTTGGTTTTCTGGCGGCTTATGGGATACATATCATCCAGGACGAATTGTTTCTAAGATTGCTGACAAAATAAGAACGTCCCAGTCTAACCCCTTGGAAACAGGTCAGCCAGCTGCTCAGAGTGCCGTTCCTACCTGGTCCCTCAGGCCGTAGCTCTATCGCCTTTGTTGGCAGTACCACATGGAACTCTCTCCCTGCTGATACTCGCGCTTGCGACGTACGCCACACGTTTCAAGCATTGCTGTCTGGCTATGACCTCATCTCCCTCGTCAACTAGCTCTCCGATGTTGTGCCTACTATGTCTTCTTCACAGATTCTGCCTGAACAGATGCTCATCAATTATGTTCTTGTCCTCTATCCTAGTCCAAATCCTGCCTTGCCCATGCATGACTCTCATGAAATGCCCGTACTAAATAGTCTGTAGAACAAGAATATTGTATATCATACTTCTCTCATCAACTATGATAATACCCATTTCATAAAATTAATACCTACTGTTTTCTTTCCTTTCATTTCATCTTCTTTTCCGTTCCTTTCTTCTTCATACACATTTTAAACATTTTCATCATATTGTGAGAGCCGTGGGCCAACAGCCCCGGTGAGAAGGCAGTCTTGCCTGTTCATATGGTGAAGTAAAATAAAGAAACAACAACAACAACAACAACAACGTTCTTGGGCGCGCGACTATATCAATATGTAAATGATGGTCTTCACATCATATCAATACCGTATTATACGCATTGATGTGCAAGCCTTTTCTTGCAGAAAATGGCACTAGCATCTTCTTCTGCGGGGAAACATGTGAGTAGTGGTGGACCGTGGTGATTTATACGGAGGTCATTCTGTGCATATTGCTGTAGCAGAATTTCATGACTCTGTCATAAAATTGTCTTGCCTTTCAGATATTTCAGATTTCCCCACCCTCGATCATATTTATTTGAGAAATGTAACCAGGTGCGTGTCGCAGATGTTTTTGTTAATTCTGTGTTTATAATGGTTTATAATCATGGGTTTTCGTGATAAGGTCATCCTGCATCATATTGCACTGAAATCCTGTTGATGTCGATACAACTTTTGGAAGTAGTTCAATGACTTCAAACTGTTAGTCCACGATTTTCTAAAACAACAAAGCAAAGGAGGAACAATAAACATGTATTAAAATGCAAGTAAACAAATACATTGCTGAGTCGGACACCTCGTTCCAACAACTACACTGATCCTGAGGATAAAAGGGGCAAGGCTATGGTTGGAGGTACTGAGAGATAAACAAGGCACTCCATAATAATAAAATCTTACACATCTTTTGGTGAGTATGAATGATATCTAGTCGAACCTCTTTAGGACGAACACCAAGGGACCGATGGTATTTATTCTGTGAGTTTGTCTTAACCTATTTTATAACCAGTGAATACAATTATTTCTCCAACAGACATACGAATAGATTTCTTCTACAGCAAAAGATTCTAAGCCACACCAACTCATTGACTCGTCTCGTATGAAACAAATGAGTCACTAGAGAGGTTCTGCAAAACGAAAATGCGTACAAACTTTCGCTCTACATCATGAAGTGCGGAACTTCGCACGAACTTTCGCAACTTCAAAGTTGGACGCGAAACTTGCAGGGGACGCGAAATGAACTGTCGTAGGAAATTTCGTGAGATCGGGTCATGACGTACGTGCACTTGGCCCGCGAAAACAACGAAAATGTGCAGAACGCAAAGTTCGTGCAAAAATTCGTACACACTTTCGCAAGGACTGTCGCGAAACTTCGTTCGAATTTTCGTTTTGCAGAACCGCTCTACTGAACCTTTCTTTAGCAACATGACGGCAACTGAGGTTACGTTTGGTTGGTCACATTCCCAAATGGGAATCACTTGGAATCACTCGGAATCATTCTCGCCCGTTTGGTTGGTCAAAAAAGTGCGTTAGGTTGGTCCCATTCCAGCATGGGAATCACTTGGAATCGCTCAGAATGATTCCTTTTGGGGAATGCTCATTCCACGTCACAGGCTGGAATGCGCATTCTCATTCCGCGATCGAATCAGATAATGGCCGGCACGGGCGAAGTTTTCTCCTGGTCGGAGAAGTTGACAAAGGACTTTCTGGATATTTATTCCCAGTATCAGGAGAAGTTCTCGAACGTAAATTTCAAGAGTTTCTTTTTGTGGCAGGAAATTGCCAGGCTGCTCCGAGAGAGTGATGCAGATCGAAATGTTTGGCCGAGTGATAAGCAGTGCAACAATCGATTCAAGTCACTGAAATCGAGTTCGCAGAAGTACCTCGACTCGTTGAAGGAGACCGGAGCTGGCAAGAAGAGGAGGGAGCCGCCATTCCATAAAGAGATCATGGATTTGATCGGCAGCAGAAGCAGCGTTGTGCCCCCTTCAATTGCCAGCTCCGGGAGCATCGTTTCGTCGATTGCCTCCTCACAACCGATTTCACCTCCACCCGCTATGCATACTTACGAAGGTAAGAACTAGCGAGCTCCAGTGTGTGGAGGAAACAATTTGCTATAGGAACTATCTTCAATGATACAATCAAATCAAATTTATGGTTGAAGCCGAGTATCCAAGTTGTACCAAAAATAATTGCAACTCATCATTGTATTTTTTTCCTATACTCTTACCAGGTATTATGTTTATTTCGAATCCCTCAATGTTATGAATATTGGAACCTTTCAGGCTTGTTTGATTGAAGGGTGAAATCCGTGGATTTGGGAAAGAGTGCAGCCTTTGGCAATGATCAGAGCATTGTGGATAGTTTCAAACACTATGTTCATGCAGTGCAAAGAAATATTGAACAGTGCTGCCACCTTTTGTGTCAATCTACACGTGCTACATGCATTTGTGTTGAAAAGAGTTTTATCATATTTATTTGTGTATGGATTTGTCAGCTTGATTACGCACAGACACGCATAGACTTATCCCTTCTTCTCCTCGTTTCTGCAGATGACGACGTTACCGACTTTGAAATGAACAATGATGATGATGACAATCGTGATACAGCGGCCACTGCCCCGACGGACCCTAGGATCCGGACAACACCTGTCGCAGCGCAAGCCCCAACACCAGTCTCAACAACAACACCAAAACAACCAATAGTATCTGGCTGCGCCTCAAAGGCTCCATTGAAGAAACGACGCAAGCGCCCGCCCACACAAAGTTCACAAATTCAAGAGTTCCTGAAAAACCATGAAGTAAAAGAAAGCCGCCGGGAGAAGGATAGAAAGAAGCGGGACAAGAAGAAGATGCGTATTATGGAGGGATTTCTTGCCACGATCCAGAATGCGTTGGGTGGCAAGAGAAAGAGGAAGAAGAAACGAGGACAGCGCCAGCATGAGTCAGAAAGCAGCAGTGACAGCAGTAGTGACACCACACACGCCAGTAGCCACTACAGTGAGCAATCTGATGCTGAAGATGACTTATCAGTTTCTATCTTTGGGTCATCCTAATAAAGTTATTATTATTATTCTGTAATGCTTTAAAATTGAATCCGTTTTTTTGCTCTGAACTACAGAGTAGGAGTAGGTGACTTGATAATTTTAACTTTTACTTGGGTTATTCTTTCACTGTGCAAGCGCTACACAAGTCACAAATTATGGCAGTTGTGCCTCCAATTGGCTCCCATGTAACGCCCAATCGGGACTGTGTTCTGCTTTATACATTACTTGTGCCGAAATATAAGCCAAGAATGCCATGAACGTTCCCATCTGGCTCCCAGTTGAGCCTCTATTGGGGCAATTTACGGACAACTCACAAATTATGCCAATTATGGCAGCTGGGGCTCGAATTCGGGTTCCCATGTAACGCCCGATCTGGCCCTAATCTGCTTTATAGATTACATCTGCTGAAATTGTCAACCATGCCAAGAAAGACCTCACCTGGCTCCAAGATGAGCCCCGATTGTGGCCAAATAGGGACTCCGTTCTGCTTTATGAATTACTTGTGCTGAAGGAGTAGCCAAGCATGCGCGGGAAGTCACCATCTGGCACGGCTGTTTCGCGTGATTCAAAAGGCAAGATGGCGTCCTTTTACACATTTTTGGTAAAAACCCACCTTTTTAACGCCTTGGCGGTGCCCACCCAGAGATTACACGCAGTGCAAGGAAATATTTTTTTGCTTGGTGCCAAAAGAGCTACAGAGCTACAAAAAAAACATTGTCGAGTTGTTTGGAGTTCGTCTCGTTGTAGGCCAAGTCAAGTGGTTTTGAAGTGTAGTGTTCGCTGTCTTGACGTGGAGTTTCGATAAAAGATGAAGGCGACATCTGCCAGACCCAGTGACTCTTCGGTTTATGCCGTTCTTCGACACAACATCATTTTCGTGCAGGAACTATTGTTATTACTTCTACAATAATTATAGTAGTTCAAGTTCTAGTATTACGGATCATGTCACAGTGCATTGTCCTCTACTTGCCTGTGGACGAGGAACGTTGTGTAGTTCCTGCACGTGCTCAGCACCTGAACTGTACGTTCCTTTAGAGTTTAGTTCAGGATTCAGGGCTACCCGTAGATGTGTTGACGCATGCCACCTGGTGGCTGAATCAGTGCACGTGATTTTCAACCTGGCAGGAGGAAGCAAAGAATTTTCATGGACACTCGCTTGAGTATTTTGACAAGTCCCCCCCCCCCCCCCCTTTCTGGTGCTGTTCTGTTGGCACACTGCATCTGCATGGCGGGCCTGGGACAGGCATGCTCCCATGCAGCTGCTGTACTATTCTGGCTGGATTCTGATATGAGATCACAAGGCTAGCACAGCAGGATCTGCACAGCAGGATCTGCACAGCAGGATCTGCACAGTGGCTGAACATCAGCAGTAAAGAAGGTGCAGTATAAGAAGTAGTAAATTCGATTTCAGTGGTGCAGAACAGTTTTGATTTCAAATTGCATCGCTGCATTGTATTTTGACTTTTGTCTCATGTTTGAAGTAATTAGTTACAGTTTTGCTGTTCAAATGATTTCTGAATGTATCAGAGTGATAATGTTGACCTACCTATGGCCCGCCACCACCCGCGCTGATGTTGTGAGCGACAAAACAGTTTACTTCTCCATAGGTAGCTAGATTTGGGAATTTTCCCTTGGCTTTAATACTGCAATTGTTGTGCATTATAAATTAAGCACTGGTGTGTCGGCAGTGTGGTTGTTAGGTACTGCACGACCAAGACCTTTAGACGGTCAACATCTTTGTTTGTGTTCTGCAGGCCAGAGCGAAGGAGGTTGAATTTGTGGTGTATTAATTCACCTCCTTCCTCTCCAAGAGTACATACATGCGAAGGCGTGGCTCGCCCGAACAGCGTGGCTTCGTCAATATCGACACCCAACAAACTCTCCCCGGTGTTTTGGCTCTTGTTATCCACCGAGCACGCCCCCTTAAGATTCTTCTCCTGCTTTGGTCTACCTCCCTTTCTTGCACTCTCAATCCACCCACATACAATGCATTTATCATCTGTGTGCGGCATCCAGGCTAGTACATTTGGCAGAGCCTTACTACAGCCACCACCACCACTATCCCCTCCCTTAATATCACCACCAACATCACACGGTGTTTCACTTTCTGCTGACTTCTGGATAAATAGTAAGCATGCCCTACAGAAATGTGTGGGGTGGACACCACTTTCATCTTTTTCTACCTTGATACCTAGAACATTGAAGATCTGCAATGCATAATCTTTCACTAGATAAAATTAATAGAGGGCTCCAAGACTTCCGACCACTCCGATGGCTGGGCAGTTTACATCCACCCAAGCGACACAACATACCCACATGCTCAAGGTGAAAATTCAAATTTTTGAAATCAGAGCTCATTGTTCAGCCATAAGAGACGTCAGAAAGAACACCATGCACACAAAACTACCCTACAGATCACAATGACACTAACGTATTTTGTAGATGAAGGTTTCCGCTATACAAATAAACTTCCCTCGCCGCCACCAAAACTTCCCCAACTAGCTACCCAGGGCAGTTTCCCTGGGCTACGTACAGCAAAAGACACGCTCAAAAAGGAGTAAGAAATCGACAAGAAACGCTTGAAAAGTCGCTCGCTCGAAGAAAGAAGCACTCGTTTTTTACACGCGATTGTACTACAGCTACTGTACTCTCACACGAGGCTATTTTTGTTGTTTTCAGTGTCTCAGGCTCCGCTCGGTGAGGCCGAGAAGCCGCGTGTAGAGAGCTGGCCCTGAGAAAATTCTCAGCCCTTGAGTACGCTTGAGTACGGGAAAATCCCCTACTTCGGTGACTGCTGGCCTGGCCTCGAACCCGAGATGCTGTGCACGGGTTTTTGCAGTCTGAATCAGCCGTGCTGGGTCCAAGACTAGGCCCGGTTGGGGTCAAATAGGAACCATTTTATGCTTTATACATTACTTGGGACAAAAGTGTAGCCAAGCATGCCAGAAGGTCCCCATATGGCTCCCAGATGAGGCTCGATTGGGGCCAAATTGGGAGCATCGTCTGCCACCACCCTTCAAGGATCAAGGCGCAGATGCAGCTCCTAATGCGGTAGGAATGAAGAAAGGGAAATATAATGATGAATATAATAGGAAGAAGAATCAATTCTCTGTGGCAAACAACCATGCACACGCGCGCACGCTCACACATACACACACATACACACACACACACACAGGAACATGCTTCTTGACGTAGGGCTTCGGAAAAGCAACCATCACTTGGCACCGCATAAGAAAAGAGAAACACAAAGCCAGGTTGGTGAGAATTATGCTGCAAGAGCGAAAAAGGCACCAAAGCATTGGAGTAGGTCCGACGATTGAGACGAACATCACGTATCATGACTCCTGTGACAAGAAACACGCACGCGCGCACACACACACACGCACTCACACACACACACACACACACACACACACAGGAACATGCTTGTTGACATAAGACTTCGGAAAAGCAACCAGGAAACTACAATAAAATACGCGTAGATGCATGACAAGCACGACATGAAGACCTAGCGCCGGATTACATTGCACACCTGGCCAAACAGCACCACACATGACTTACCAATGGTCATGATGAGAGGTAGGTGACGAGCTGTTGACGTCGCTGCTGAGAAGCCTGTTCTGCAGCAAATACAGGTGCATCAAGGGGAGCAGGGTTGTTGGCTGCCCCAGCGTTCTCGCATGGTGCTTGGAGAAATGCCACATCGTCAATGTCATGGAGTCGGCGAAAGTTGTGCAGCACACACGCTGCCACAATGATCTGCGGGTAGTACTCCGTACAGTCGAGGTCGATCATCTGTAGCTTCCTCCAACGGCACTTCAACAGGCGAAAGGCTCGCTCGATAACCTTCCTTGTGTCAGCGTGGGCATGGTTGTACACACCTTGCTGCCAGGTAAATGCATGACCACCTTGTTGTTTGAAAGGAACCATCAGCCAGGTCTCCAACGGATAGGCAGAATCGCCAATGATATAGGTTTCGGAGGCAAATAGCAAAGCTTGGTGCGCTCCAGCTTCAAGGCCCAGCTCCGAATTCCGCAGGACACGAGCATCGTGTACCGAACCAGGGTATCCGGCAAAGCAGTTTGTGAATACCATCTCACTGTCACATACTGCTTGAAGAACCATACTGTAGTAGGACAGACGATTTCGATAGCTGTCCATGTCGTCGCTTGGGGGCTTCACTTCGATATGAGATCCGTCGATAGATCCGATGACCCCGGGCAGTTTTGCAATCGCTTCAAAACTTTCCGAAACTGTCTTCACTCGTGCCCCTGTTGGCCATTTTATGAACTTTGGTGCAAGATAATTCACCAAGATGGTGCACACCCGACGAATGACGGTCCACACAGTCCATTTGGAGACACCAAATCGGTCCGCAACATCACGAATGCAACATTGGTTTCCCAAAATCCATAGCGTAATGAGCAGGTGCTTCGTTGGAGTTGTAGGCACACGACCGCCAGCAATATGCGTGAGAGGCAGAACACCGTTGCTGTTTGCACAGATTTCTGTCAGGAGGAGTTCGAACGGGCCGCGTCTCATGCGGAAATGCTCGTGGAAGTCCATATCATTGAATAATGTCACTGTTAATTCCGTATAGTTCGCGATGCGTGGAACGGAGTCCCTTTTCTCCCTCAGCCCAAGAATGGCGAGGAGCAGCGGTACAAGAATATCCTCCTCGGCCTCATCATCATCGTCCCAAAGAAACTCGAAAACAATGATCGGAAGAACGGCCAAAAGTAGTTCTTGGTCGTGTACATCCATGACCGGTCGACCGGCAAGCTCTTGTCTTCACCAAAAAACAGCAGTGATTACTTTGATTTTTGTTTGGTGCACACGCGTGTACATGGTGGGTCACGTTCACCATGGAAACCCGGTGAGGTTTTGGACGTGCTGTGTTTGCCGCCATCCCCCGCTTTTTACCAGGCATTTTTGAGTATTTTTATCGATCGCAGAAAAATGATTCCGCACGGGACACGTTTGTTTGGTCAAGCGATTTCTACAACTACTGTAGTTGATTCCGGCTCGTTTGTTTGGTCAGGTGATTCTCACACATTCCCATTCCAGAATGGTTGTCATTCCCATTCTCAAAATGACCAACCAAACGTAACCTGAAACAGCAACAGAGAAAGTACGATACATGTACAGCACATTCTTGCAGGTACTACAAACAGATTGCAGATCGTAATTCTTGCTTTGGCTGCACGAAGCTTTATATGGGGCAGTGCAATCTCGGCGGTACTCACAAATAATAAATCAAACAGCCCAGACTCGAGTAAACAAATCCAATCATACAAGTACTAGATCTTCACGAGACGAGACTGCACCCATTGGCTTGTTTCGTATGAAGCAAACAAGTTTACTGAACCTCTCCACAATGGAGATTTTCCCTGATATGCGAATTTATTTTGCAAACTCGGTCAATGGGTCCTTGAACCTTTCCCTCCAGATTGGGAACTGCCACCGATAGTATGCCACTGACCAATGCCTTACTTGTAACGTACCAATGTACAATGAATATGAGTATTTCGACAACACATCTAACATTATGTCTTACCGTCAAGAAGGTGAACTCGCGTTCTTCGCACACTGTAGACAAGGGCAAAGAGATAAAATGGATCTAAATCCGAATAAAATCAGCACACGTTTAAGTTAATGAAAGGGTGAGCATAAGCAAATGAATCGAAGGAAACCGGTCAACTCAGAGATCACCTCTCATCGAGTATTCCGTAAAAGGAGGCCTCGGCAGCGGAAAAGCTAAATTTAGAAAAGAGATCCTGTTAGCTTTTCCATTATTTATTGCATTCCGCCCACAATCAGCACACTTTTCGTAAAAGAAAGAGTCAACACAAGCAAATGAATCAAAGGGAACTGGTCAACTCACCTGTCATTGAGGAATATTCCGCGAAAGGAGATCTCAGCAGCGCCGAAACGAAATAAGCCAGGCCAGGAGACGAAATATCCGAAACAGCTCATACAAGAAGCAGTTCCAAAGAAGGAAGTTCCTCGCGCATGCACATCCGAACACGGACTGCACTGCAACACAATGTCTGCCGTGCACGTGCACAGCACGCGGCTACCACGCGTTGGTAGATCTAATACCGAGCACCTTACGTAGAGACTTACGTAGCCTAAGTGAAATACCGAGCACCTTACGTAGAAACTTACGTAGCATAGCGGTGTCGTTTTTCTTGCCATGTGAACACAATAATAGAAAAGCTGACAGTATCGCTTTTCTAAATTAAGAAAGGGTTTGCTCCCCACACCGGAGCTTGCACTATTCCGCCGACATTACTTGACACTTGACTGACTCACGACTGCCATCCAGGGCACACGAGAAGTCCATCGAACCTTCGACTCGGCAAACCTGCAAGAAAGCACCACTCCCTGCTCAATACACAGTGTGTCGGGGAATTCACCCCTCATCAGTTGAGCTTGAAAAGGCTGAGGAAGATTGTTCCTGAAGAGCACCACCTATATAGTGCTCTCCAGGCACAAACATCACCAGGGATACAAACTTACAGAGACGCTCCATTTCCAGCGCGACAAACACCTCGTGAACATCAGATAGCAGGGTGAGTCAGTGTCGCTCCTGGACGGTGAGACAGACGTCGAGGACCCTGAGTCATTCGCATCGATGTCACCTCCAACCCAACGTGTCGCAAGCCCGCGCTGGGCACAACAGTACGAAGTAGTGGTTGCGATTTCAGCGATGATTTGTAAGAAAGGGTTTGCTGCCCACACCGGAGCTCGCGCTATTCCGCCGACATTACTTGACACTTGACTGACTCACGACTGCCATCCAGAGCACACGAGAAGTCCATCGAACCTTCGACTGGGCAAACCTGCAAGAAAGCACCACTCCCTGCTCAATACACAGTGTTTCGGGGAATTCACCCCTCATCAGTTGAGCTTGAGTAGGCTGAGGAAGATTGTGCCTGAAGAGCACTACTTATATTGTGCTCTCCAGGCACAAACATCACCAGGGAAACAAACTTACAGAGACGCTCCGTTTCCAAGGCGACAAACACCTCGTGAAGACCAGATAGCAGCGTGAGTTAGTGTCGCTCCTGGACGGGGAGACAGACGTCGAGGACCGTGAGTCAGTCAAGTGTAAAGTGTCAAGTACAGTCGGCGGAATAACGCGAGCTCTGGTGTGGGGAGCAAACCCTTACTTACAAATCATCGCCGAAGTCGCAACCACTACTTCGTACTGTTGTGCCCAGCGCGGGCTTGCGACTAGTTGGTTTGGAGGTGACAGCATTGCGAATGACCGATGGTCCTCGACGTCTGTCTCACCGTCCAGGAGCGACGCTGACTCACGCTGCTATCTGGTGTTCACGAGGTGTTTGTCGCGCTGGAAACGGAGCGTCTCTGTAAGTTTGCATCCCTGGTGATGTTTGTGCCTGGAGAGCAGAATATAAGTGGTGCTCTTCAGGAACAATCTTCCTGAGCCTACTCTAGCTCAAGTGATGAGGGGTGAATTCCCCGAAACAATGTGTATTGAGCAGGTAGTGGTACTTTCTTGCAGGTTTGCCGAGTCGAAGGTTCGATGGACTTCTCGTGTGCTCTGGATGGCAGTCGTGAGTCAGTCAAGTGTCAAGTAAAGTCGGCGGAATAGCGCGAGCTCCGTTGTCGGGAGCAAACCCTTTCTAACAAATCATCGCCGAAGTCGCAACCACTACTTCGTACTGTTGTGCCCAGCGCGGGCTTGCGACTAGTTGGTTTGGAGGTGACTGCGTTTCGAATGACCGAGTGTCCTCGACGTCTGGTCTCACCGTCCAGGAGCGACACTGACTCACGCTGCTATCTGGTGTTCACGAGGTGTTTGTCGCGCTGGAAACGGAGCGTCTCCGTAAGTTTGTATCCCTGGTGATGTTTGTGCCTGGAGAGCACTATATAAGTGGTGCTCTTCAGGAATAATCTTCCTCAGCCCACTCAAGCTCAACTGATGAGGGGTGAATTCCCCGAAACACTGTGTATTGAGCAGGGAGTGGTACTTTCTTGCATGTTTACCGAGTCGAAGGTTCGATGGACTTTGCGTGTGCTCTGGATGGCAGTCGTGAGTCAGTCAAGTGTCAAGAAACGTCGGCGGAATAGCGCGAGCTCCGGTGTGGGGAGCAAACCCTTTCTTACAAATCATCGCCGAAGTCGCAACCACAACTTAATAATAATAAATATTATTATAAATCATGTAAAAAGGCGACGTGGAGACAATAATCTTAATAATGCAATGAATATAACTAAATGCGCACTCATATCACAACCATGGGGACGAATCATGTATTCCAGAACGTTTTCTTGTCACAATTATCAATGGAATTCGTGACTAAAGAGAATGATGAAACTACAATAGGATTTATACACATGCAGTGGAACAGCGAGGATACAAGCATAGTAAGAAAAATAGCACAAAAAAGGCCGCGCCACTGTAGTCATAAGTCGAACTGAATATAAGTCCAAAATGGCCAAAATTTTGGATGACAGGACCAAATTTGAGTTGCTTGGCCCTGTATCAACGCACGATCGAACTCTAATCCGAGAAAAGCAACTAGTGAAATACCTGCAGACACTGAAAAACACAAATGAAATATTCGCATCTGAATTTGCACGGATAAAGCCAATCGGTTCGGTGCAACCTAGGATGTATGGCTTGCCAAAAATTCACAAGCAATCTTGCCCGCTACGTCCGATACTCTCCATGACTGGCTCAGCGGAATACAGAATATCCAAATGGCTGTGTATGATGATCCAGCCAGTGCTGGATTTCTACTGTAAGCACAACGTCAAAGACACCTTCCAGTTTGTTGAAATCTTACATGAGAACCCAGTTCCATCTTCTGCGCACATGTGTTCCTTTGATGTTGTCAGTCTGTTTACAAACGTACCATTATCCGAGACAATCAATATCTGTGCTGAAACACTGTACCACAACAAGGAAATAAAAGATGTACCATGGCTGTCCGAAGCGGCTTTTCGCCGCTTGATGTTGATGGTTACGAGTGGTGTGGAGTTTTCATTTGACGACATCATGTATAAACAGACGGATGGCGTGGCTATGGGTTCTCCATTGGGTCTGGTCCTAGCCAATGTGTTTGTTGGGTACTGTGAATCGAAGATAGATAAGTGGCCGGAATTGTACGTCAGGTTTGTGGATGACTCCTTCACGTACTTTGATTCGAGAGCAGACGCTGACGACTTTCTGCTGAAACTGAATACAATCCATCCTGCACTGAGATTTACGTGTGAACATGAAGAGTCCAATAAGCTATCGTTTCTGGATGTGTTAGTCGAAAAGACCCAGACTGGTGTATTGACTACAGTATACCGTAAACCCACTTTCACCGGGCAGTACATGATGTTTGACTCGTTCTGCTCTTCCCAGTACAAGTCAAACTTAGTTCGTAACCTTGTAAATAGGGCACAACGCATTTGTTCACCAACAAAGCTACAACAGGAACTTGATTTTCTACGCTCCGTATTTGTGAAGAATGGCTACCCGCAGCAGCTCCTCGACAAACTTCTAACAACTACACCTGTTGTTAAGGAACGAGCTATCGGACCGTTGCCGTGCCGCGTATTTCTTTGCTTGCCCTGGAAAGGGAAAGAATCGAAGGACACGGCCCGTGTGGTGAAATCCCTAGTGGAGAAAACCTACTTTGCCACCAATGTGGTTACCGTGTTCACTACGATCCGTTCGTTCACGATGTTGAAGGATGTCCTACCAACCCTACAATTGAGTCACCTCATTTACTACTTTGAATGCCGACAATGTGGTAGTCGGTATGTTGGTAGGACCCTTCAACATCTGTCCGAACGTATCAAACAACACGTGCCGCTCTCAATATTGTCACAGGCGGCGAGGTCCTCCCGACCAAAGCGTGGCCGACCACGTAAGCACCCAACTCCACTGTCCGTTCCGGCAGAGGCTTCTGCTCCACAAACGGTGTCTCGGAAAAACCAACACAGCACGCAGAAATTGGGAAC